ACAAGCTTTGAGCCGGAATGAAACGGAAAACAGGGGGGAATTGGATTCATGACCGTGACTAATATGGGAATGGGATCCAAAAATTCAAATGAGACAAAATTGAGCAATTACTGTTTTTTTGTGTGCACTTTTGCAACCTTCATTGTCCCATTGTCTCCATAGTTTTTTTTTTCCTTTGAAAGTAGCTTTTCTTGCATTGGCAGCAGTCATTCTATTTTAAAAACTTAATTTAGAAAAAAAAAAAAACAGATTGCATTCACTACGAGAAGCCGACTCGGCAACGGTCATAGCCGTTCCTCGATTTTCGTCTCAAATTGACAGTTCCTGGAGAGTCCTTAGGATGTAGGAAGAAATGTTTGACATAAAAAAGAATTAGTTTCAAGGTCATATGCATGCACGCGGCATGAACTAGCTGACTTATTTTTTTGTTGTGACGGTTGTAGCCGTCTTGATCCCACGGGGGAAAGTATTGGTCGAATTGCGGTATGGTATAAAGAACATAAAATTCATTTCTGGAGAAATAATTTCGTCCAGAATCGGCACGATGCAACACTCGGTCGGTGAGACTCGAACGACCTCGATGCGATACGGTGTTGTTCCGTATATTATTAAGAATTTCATTTGTAATATTACGAGGTTGGTAATGTATATGATAAATAATATACATTACCGACTTCAACAAATGGAAATTCTAAAACTGCCTGTTGTAACCGTGTAGGGCGTAGTAGGCATATTACAAGTCATTTAAAAAAAAAAATTCCCGGACTTTCGCGAACGGACGCGATTGGATCCTTGCGGGTGTGAAGTCGGCGGCTTGCACCGTGTTGCTCTTGCATTAAGGTTCCAGGAAATTATTAATTACTCAGGTTTTCAATGAACATACGGATGGCCGTAAGAGACAGAAAAAGATCGAAGTTTAACCAAAGCCAGATTGGATCCCCTGGGAAGGAACGTCGCAGGAGTGAATTCCCTGAATTTTCTTTAATTAGCTCTAAAGCTATATTATTAGTGCGTTGAAACGCGAAGTTTCAACGTGTACACGTGGAGGCTGCAAGGGATATTCATTCAATAATGTTTACGTGTTTTAACAAGAGGTTTGAAGTCTACAGAGACTCGACTCTACAGCAGCAACTACATAGCAGCTCAAGAATGTATTGGTTTAATGCCTCAAATCCTGTTCCTTCCAAGTAAAACTCCGTTTTTTTTTGGTTTCCAGGAATGACAGTTCCATCTTTCTGATCACTCTTAAGTCTGGTTCCCAATATATTGATTGCTTGCAATGAGTGATGATGATGATGATGATGATGATGGGAATGATGTAGACACCCCGTTCGGAAGTGGTGCTGGTGCTGTCCCGGAGTCGCTCGGCGACCCCGGCCGACAGAGGTTCGGAGAGCCCCCAGAACTATTGTCGTTCCCCGCCGAACGTGGCCGGTTCGACCGTGAATCCCCTTCGACTTCAGCAACGTCCCCCGAGGATCCTCGAGAGCCCCTGTGATGCTAAATCCCTTATCTCAGGTGAGGAGGGAGTTCCTGCTGCGACGATGTTATCGTGTGAAGTACCGGTTTGATGTTTTGGGCAGAGAATTTATGGGAATCCTGAAATGGTCGATTCTAAGTTGTTTTTTTTTTTGGCTTTATTGAAAATTTCACCCGGAATTCATCACCGTAAAATTGTATTTACATTCAATGCACATTGTAAAATAAATTCTTAAGAGTACTTTTTGAAAGGTCTTTTTCCTTATAAATTTGTGCGTGGCACTCGAGCAAATAGTTTATTCGAGAATTGGGACGTGACTCATTTGACATGATTCATCTGACATGACTCCTTTTCCGGATAGACTTGTCAGTATGGGAGGCAAGTCGAGGTCCTCCGGTGACCGTGATGCTGAAGAAGGAAGGTCCCGGCCTTGGCTTCAGCCTCGAAGGAGGCAAAGACTCTCCTTATGGAGATCGACCGCTGACCATCAAGAAGATCTTCTCTGGTACGGTGGATCATCTCTGGATTATCTTTGAACCCGCTTATAAATCAATCATTACAGAGTGACGATGTCCATCGGTTTAGGATCGAGTCCTTTCATCTCTGTCCACATCCGATTTGATGAAATCTGATGATGAATGGAGCCTGATCTAAACTAAAGCAGACGGCCTCTTCATTGCATTTATCTGTCTGAATTGTGATCTAAACTGCAGTTTTATGACACCATCCATCAACTGTCCAGGGGGGAAGCCATTGTACACTAATGCACAGCTTGACTACAGGCAACTCATTATCATGCATCTATGGATAGATGGTTCATGATTCACAAAATTTGCATATTCCATATACTGATTCCAATTGTTGCCTGATGATCCATTGTGAAATACAAACTACATGGCGATTGCCCGCATGCAACCAGCAAGGTGACTCAAAGAGGATGTTGTCCCTTTGACCCCCCAGTGATGAATGGTTCCCTTGCCTTAAGTCAGAATCCATGGAGTCTAGGGAATTATCAGATAATGACTTTGTCCACATATAGTCTTCTTGCACACATTTACAAGAGAGACTCCATGAACTTCCCAAACTCCACGAAATTGAAGTTTCCAGGTTCTATCCTCTAGGTGTATTCAAATAATGAACGTCATCCAAGGCTTTTTGGCACAATCAAATTAGCGCCCATTTTTCATGAACCTGGCCGAATTTCATAGTCAATTCTGTCCCTAATTTCTTTGGTCTAATTTTCACTAGTAGAAAATGGGACATAAAAAGTTTATTTTAAGGTTGGGCCCAATGAGAAACAGACCCAGGTACCACTGGAAATCAATTTAACGTTTTATTAAATTAATTTTTTATTGGGAGCATTTCTTATACAAATACCACAGAATTTTCAATACTAATCAATACAATTTTATGTAGGACCGGAATTTTTTTGCAGCAGGGTATGCTGTGATGAAAAATGAGCATTATCCAAGACCTACATTTTTTGTCTCATCCAAATTGCATCCCTACAAAATTTTAAATTATTTTTTTTTTTTTTAAGAAAAGATGAAAAAATTTATTCAAAGGCCATTTATACCTGAATTTTTGGTGGCAAAAGCAGCACCAAGAAGGGTCTGAGTTAAATGGTAATTTCCTGCAGGTGGAGTGGCGGACAAGGAAGGAAGCATGAAGGTGGGAGATGAGATCCTGTCTGTCAATGGGAATCCCCTCGTCCACATGTCTCGCATCGAGGCGTGGAACTTCCTCAAGCGCCTCACCGACGGCGACGTGAGCCTCGTCGTCCGCAAGAAGCTCGAAGCCCGCGATCAACTATCGATGCAGGCGTCGTCGCAGCAGGCGTGACGTGAGCCTCGAAGGGATAACAAAAGACACGAGACATTTTTATATGGAGAGATGTTTTGCTTTTCTTTTTTCCCATCCATCTGTGATGCTCTCCTTTTGCCCAAATTTTTTTCTTTTACATACGTTTGCATTCTTGCGATAAAAATGAATAAAGAATACGTGATGCTTCCCTTCCCCTTCTTTCAATGCTTTCTGTGATCGTCGACAGGACTGCTGCTTTTTGCAGGTCTTTATCATTCCGTGACGAATACTTGCATGAATCCACTAGAGTAAAAAATCAAGAGAAGCGTTTGAAGTATGATCATTTTCATTCTCTCTGAGCATCAAAATCATGACAGGAATAACACGAGGTATTCTTGATTCTGGAAAACAAAACAGCCACTTGGAAAGACTAACAGAAAAAGAGAAGTGGAAGTAGAAGCCTCGTGGAGTGGATATGGTGCAAGAAGCTACAATTGACCATGAGGATGATCGAATTTGTAGAAAAGTAGTGAAGTTGCTGGAAGAAAACTTGACACAGATTGTGATGAGAGCAAGAAATGCATTTGAGGAGCAAAAACCAGAGGCTCAGGAAAGAAGACTTGCAGAGGCACATGTTCTTCCAGGCTTCCTGATTCTTATAAAATTCCTGAACTGCTTCATCACAGTCTTTGTCAACTTGAGGTTAGAGAAGGTTTTGGTTTATAAATTCATTGGAATGTCAATAATCACAAGGGAACTCCAGCACAATACATTCAGCACGCCATAAGTAGAATCGGGCCATTCCTATAACTGACAACCTCATCAAAATAGTGTTGGATATATTCCTTGCATCATCAGAAAGAATGAAAAACAAGAGACTAAAAAAATTAATGGTAATGGCAACATGCCCAAAACTCCACTCCAGGATGGCAAACAAGACAGGATAAGGGAAGGAAGGACTGGAGATAGAGAAGGGACATTGTCACATCAGCTGTGCTGTGAAACACTTATTTTGTACCACATCAAATTCCCACTGTAATACTCTCTGAAAACAAGAAAACAAAAACCTCTGGAAACAGGGATAAACTGGAAAAATTTAATCGGAGCCTTTGGCAGAGGAGACTAAATAAGGGTTCATTCAGTTCTCCTCAGCCTACTTATAGTGGTTCCTCTTATCAGGAGGAAATGCTTTTAAACTTTTCTATTGCTTCTCACTGGGTCTGACCTGCACTATGCTCAGGTGCTCTGCTCATCCATGTGACTATCTTTCTTGATTGGGAGCCACATGGAGATGAACGAAGGCCACTTATAAATTTCATGAACACACAGTAGTTGCTTAAAATCCTTCACAACCAAATGGCTTGTGATACCTAGGACTGTAACCTGATGTTCAAATGAGAAGTCTCGGGTAAAGTCATTTGTTATATTGCATGATGGCAACTTTGCTGCAGCCCCATTAAAAAAAATTGAACTAGAGCACTTGATGATTCTTCCCACTATAAATATCCTCATAAAAAAAAGTTACATGATTGCATAGACTGTTCTGCCCATCAATAGAACAAAGACATAATTAGGGAATAATTGCAACAACAAAAAAAGTTCAAAAGAGTTAGGTTTTTGGCCAAAGATAAGACCTCATGGACTGAAGCACCCAGCAGTTGTACCATTCTAAAAATCAACAAAATCTGATTGACTTTCACACTAAACCAAATTTCCAGGCTTTCTTAAACTCAACTGCTTATCAGGGTAAGCAAAGTCAAGGAGTTGAAACTACATTTCAAAGGTCCATGTATGGATTATCCACCAGAGCTCAGTTCTTTTAGGGACAGTTATTGTGGTCATGGCAAGGCATAAGTAGTAAACACTATGGATAGATCTGCTGGTGGAAGGAGACAAAAAAAAAAATATAACAAAGCACAAGAGATTGCAACACATTTTCCTATGGAAGCTGTAATGGAATTTTCAATTTTATAAAACATGCTATTGAAGGTTCAGCTTACAAGAGGCAGAAATTAATGACTCCACTTTGCACTCAAGAGTTTCACCAGGGAGGATAGCAAGCTTGTGACTTGCATGTTTGAAACTAATGCAACCTTTTAATGCCTCTTAATCATAACTGGTTTGTCAGTAGCTAGAACAAGGTACTGACAATCAGTCTCAATGGGCGGGGGAGAGAGTACCAGCATGAGTGGATTTCAAGTCTTGAGGATAAGGGAAATAAGGGTTAATAAGCTAAATATGACTTATGGCAATTATCATGGGCCATAACCTACCAAAATCATGACAGGTTCAAGGTGAGACTCTTACAGGTCCTTTCAAAAACCATTCCTTTGAAAGGGTTCTAAGTTTGACACAGGAATTCCAAGTGGGAGGCAGAGAGACAACTACATGCACATATGTATGACACACACAAAAAAAATCATTTTTCATAAAGGAATGCCATTGCACTTCTGACTTTGACCTTGAACTGAATTGTTTCAAATCAAACTGCCTGTGTGTGATGGTTACCACAACAGGAAATAAATACATATCTCAGTCACTAATTAATAATTGACGATCAGCATAGAAGTAAAAGGCCTATGGTACCAGCAAATGCGATAGCAAGTGATGGGTATCACATTCACGAAGATCACACTAAAAGCAATTCTGAAGTCTCTGGATCGTGCCCTTGTCAAGCGCACAGAGGTTGAAGTCAAAGGTCGTGTTCGTGATCTCGAACTGACCCGTCTCCTTGATCACGTCCACGATCTTCTGTAGGAGGTCACAATCACGCAGGTCCATGATTCGTCTGTGGAGGTCCAAGAGTTGGGAGTAATGGTCCTCAGAGGAAGAGGAAAGGGGTCGGGGGGTCGACTTCACACTTTCGTTTGCGTTCAGTCTAAGGTTGGCATTGGGATCCCTATCATCATCACTGGATGAACTGACCTCTCGTCTGCGTTGCGATTCTACCCCAGATTCATCCTCACTTTCACTAGGACTATCACTGCTGTCACTGTGGCTGCTGCCACTTCCTTTCTTTCTCTTCCTTTTCTTCTTCATCTTCTTGTGTCTTTCACCCGATGGTTTCTTCCTCTTCCGCATCTCTGGTTCCGAATCAGAACTCAGGATGACAGTCCCCTTAGCTTCCACAGTTTCAGTCTTTGATGAAAACACAGGTGCGACATCCTCACTGCTTTTGCTTGAGTCATCATCATCACTGCCAAGTTCAGCCATGAGCTTCCGAAATACATTATTTGAAGAAGGCTCTGTCCTTGAAGAGTCAGCCACATGTCCATTCACATGCACGTGGGTCTGACTGTGGTTCTGACTTGACTTAACATCTTTCACCTTCTCTGGCACTGGAGATACAGATATCTTCTTGGCAGCAGACAATGCAATCTTTCTCTCAGGCTCTTTCTCCTTCTCTTTTTTGGGGTTTTTCTCTTCACTCCCCATCTTCACCTTCTTGTGCTTCTTCTCTTCTCCTTTTGAGGATTTGAGGCCATTTTTTAACTTCTCCACTCCATGAGATTCACTTGCCAGCTTGTTCTTTATCTCTGGCTTTTTCTCTACCTCAACTTTTTCCAGCTTTTTCTCAACTTCAACTTTCTCCTTCTCCTTTTCCTTCTCTCGGTCTTTCTTTGGCTTGTGCTTCTCCCTTTTTTCCTTAGCTCTCTCTTTCTTCTTGTCCTCTTCTAGCTTGGGTTTCTTGTCAGGAACATGACGGTGATGAAAATCATCTGTCAAGGGACGCTTGGCCTCTTTCTTCCCTTTGGAAAGGGATCTTCTCTCCTCTTTACCTTCCTTCTCTTCCTTCTTCTCCCTCTCCTTACCCTTCTCTTTATCTTTTTCTTTTTCTACCTCTTTTTCTTTATCTTTTTCTTTCCCCTTCTCCCTCTCCTGCTTGAGTGTCTTGATGGGCTCACCAAAGAGACTAGAGAATGGGTCTTTTCTTCCAAGGGCATTCTTCTTCTCCTTTTCTCTAGCTCGGTCTTTTTCCTTTTCCCTTTCCCTCTCTCTTTCTCTTTCTTTCTCTTTTTCTTTTTCTTTCTCTCTTTCTCTTTCCCTTTCCCGTTCCCTTTCTTTTTCCTTCTCCTTTTCCCTCTCCCTTTCCTTCTCCAAGTCACGTCCTTTCTCCTTTTCTCCTGAGTCCTGGACAAAAACCAAAATGTCAAAATGAAACAAAGTCCTCATGCACTATAACTTCCAGCACAGTCACACTACTATACTGAAATGCTCCCATCTCACTTATTCTCAGGATAAGAATGCTTAGAACTCATGCTTCCAGAGAAGAGATGAGCATTAGGCTCAGGATTTTACTGGGTCAGTACACAATGTCACCCACTTTGGCAATAGTTTCAGCTCCACCCATATTCTGATGATCTGACTAACTCCTGCAAGAGTGGCATAGTAATAGGTTCTCTTTATCTCACCCCAATGCTCCTGCATCTGTGAAAGTTAGACTGCTTTCCTTGAGTAACCTCTTTCCATCATTACAGTAATTTCATCAATCCACACTGGATCATCCTACTATCTCAACTTCCACCCTGCTAAAACAGGCCATACTTTAGGGTCATCTCAGGAACTTTGAACAGATCCCTCTCTGTAGCTATCCATCAAGCTACAACAATTTCTAAAGACCCCTAAGGATCAGTTGGACAGCTCATAAGCATGCAAAATGCAGGCCAATACAAAAACTACTTAATTTCATTTAACTATTCCTAATTAAACTGCAGTGAAACCAACCTTTGACTTGGACTTGGTTGATGCAATTGCATGACCAGATGATCCTATTCCCACATGACTTGACAATGAGGGTTTTTTCACCTCTGCTGCTCCTCCCCCACCCTTGCCTTTCCCTCCTTTACCACCAACAGGTTCTATGGCAGAGGTAGCATTTTTCTCTTTCTCTCCCCCTCGATTTGGCGCTTTCTCTCCACTGGATTCTCCAACTCCCACAGCTACCTAAAAAGGAAAGGATGCCAATGTATCTGTGGGTCCTTCAACTTTTCACAATTCAATCATTCATTTTGTTCTGGATGTAAAATCTAGAAAAAATTGAGAAATTACTCCTCCGCCTTTGAGAAGCTTTTTCTTGAAGTCATCTGATGGCTTTTGAAAAGTGAGCTTCTCTAGCCGCACATGGTTGATTGGAGGGCCCGTTGACTGCAGGAAGAGATCATAATCAAAGCGCACACTTCGTGGCTCCTGATTACGAAAAACCACTTCGATTGGGAGGAGGAATCCAGCATAACCAGTCTCAGTCACTTGATAGGGAGGCTCTTTCACCACTGTGGAAGAAAAGAATTAAATCTGATGACAAAAACCCTCAGAGTAAAATAAACACATAGGTAGATCAAGCAAAGAAAAACACCTCTCTTTGCACGAGGAAATGACTCGTGGAGGTAAAAGACAACGCGGTCAATAAAATGCTCAATATTGGTTCCCTCTGGTCCCCTGACAAAGACCGACCAGTCATGGGTATACCCCTCAGGTGTCTTCTTTGTTCTCAGAGATGCCCTGTGCCCCAACTCGAGCTTCACTTGCATTGCCTGCGAGTACAATGAACAAGATTTTATTTATATGACTGCCCTGACCAACAATGCATTGTTGTGAATAAAAAAAATAAGGAACTCACCATGATTAAAAACAAATCACACTGGAAAACAGAATTGCTGGTGGCAGTGTTTTAGGGGCGTTAGGCACATGCCTACGCCAAGTTTTTGAGGCTCACAGCGCCTACATCTTAGGCGCATGATGTGATAGGCATGTACCCCTCACCCAGGCCTACTAGTCATAAATACTTCTCATTATCAATCCATCCT